TATAAAATAATGAGATCCAACTCATGCCTCGTTTGGTTTCCCTGCTCCCTTTTTTTGTTTTTAAACAGAAGTATAGGAGCGGGAAACGGGGAAATTTTTTTCTTCTAGATCGGCAGAAATACGGAAGTTCGGGAAGATTTGCAGAAATCCCGAGCGCTCTAGGGTTGATCGACAAACAGCAGGGCATTGTAGCACTATAGATTTAGAGCCACAACATTGTGTAGGTTGCAACTCTGCGAACTTGAGCACCATAGCGCTTCGAGGTTGACTGGACAATTTTCTTTCATGTTTTTCTCAAGGGTTGCGTCCCTTCGAGTTATTAAGTTGACTTTATCTTGAATTGTGAGTAATTAGCAATGGCGAAGCCATGATTATTTATTTGCGGGGCAAAAATTTCTAATTTGAAAAATACCGTCAAGCTTTTCAATCGAGCTTGAAATTGACATTAGGGTTTTATTTTTTTTTATATCTAACTTAAGTTTTTTATACCTAAATTAAATAAAAATATAATTTAAAAATATCTTATAACAAACAATAAATATATAAAAAAGCTACATCTTATTAATATAAAAATATAAAAAAAATAATTAGCATGAGAAAATATATAAATAAAGAGAGAAATATAAATGGTAAAAAAGGTTAAAATTGTCTAATAAAAATCAACAAAAAATAATTAACCTCATAAGAGAGTGGAAAATAAATAAATAAATTTAAGTCATCTCACATCATTGTAGAGAGAGAGAGAGAAAAGGAGCAAGTACAAAAGGTTGTTAGTGATAACAAAAAATTGACAATAAAGAGAGAGTGGAGAGGAGAGAGGTAGTGAAAAAAAAAATTACTCCCAATGATTGCCTGTTTTTATAGAAAAATTATTGTGTGCGGAATCCGAACGTGTTTGGAGGCGAATCTGGGCATGCCATGTCACCGGGCCCCAGTGCATCCGATGACATGGGGCATCTGGATTCACCTCCTAATGCATTTGGATTCCGCACACAATAATTTCTCGTTTTTATAAAGGGAAATTTTTTTTGATAGTGAAGAGAAAGAGAGAGCGAGAGAGAAGAGAGATATATACATATTTCTCCCAATTTTCATAATGGATTTATTGGTTGGTGTGACTCAATGATTTTTTTCCTTATTTTGAATTTTTCCATGTTAAATCCTGGTGTCCTTTAACTTTCTGTTGTTTTTTTTTACTTTCTTGTTTGTTTCATCACGATGTTTTACTTCTATCCCCAACATTTGAAATATCTAAAATTTTTATATCATCAAGGGACTCAAATTCATTTCATACAACATTTCACATCTTGTTATCACCATACAAATATTTTTAATCTCCAAATTTCTCTATATATCTAAAAAATTAGCCAGCTTCTCATTCATCATTTCTCTCTTCTTTTATTTAGAAAATAATGTTTTAACCAAGCATTTCTCTTATTTAAAATTTTCAAATATTTCTCACAAAAAACACGGTGAGTATTCTCTTGGAGTCATTTTGTACATAAATATCTTCCAAGAATATAAAAAATAAACTTATTCAATTACTATTTTATAAAATGAGAATATATTACAAGGTATAAGTTATACAATGGATATAAAAAAAGAGCCAAATAATATAGTGGTTTGTTACTTTGCCCCACTTATCCTCCAAAATGGCACAAACAACCCTATAACATTTGAATCTTCATCATTTTACTTTCTTTTATTTATCTTTATATATTATTTCCTTAACTTTGGATAGAACTGAATCATACATCTCATAAATTAAATGCAAGCAAGATTTATTTGTATCCGCTACTCTTAAGCATTTTAAATAATATTAATAAAAGATAGAATATAATTAACTTTATCCCAACGTAAGTCATTAAGGTTTCGTTTGGGACAACTCTTTTATTGCTTCTTGAAATTAATAGCTTTTTACTTTAAAAATTACAATTTTTATACTAAAATACTGCTTTAAAAAGCTGTAAGAAAGTCATCCTAAAAGAAGCCTGATTCTTTTTTCTTCCACATATTTTACCTTTCCAATATTATATTTGTAATAAAATAAATGTTTTTGACTAGTCACAGCTTGAATAGTTTTTTTTTATTTTTATTTTTTAAAGCTTCTCGACAGCAAAATAATTGAGATAAAGAAGTTTTAGCCATAGAAAGTATTTTCAAAGTTGAGAAATCATTGAAGATAGAAACTCTCATAAATTTATAATATTTGCTCAATAAGTAAAGTAGCTGCTCTACAAATTGAAGCATTGTCAATAATAATTTGAACAATATTTGAAATACCTCTCATGTGAAGCACATTTACTCCTCAGAAATTTACATGTGAAGCACATTTTACTCCCCAGAAATTAGCGTAATTAAACCTTGAATTAATACTAATTAATTTTTATTAGATAATTCTATTACCCACTTAATTAATGATGAACTAATAAAAAAGGTCAAAAAAATCCCTCCACCTAAATTTACTCGTTGGAGCCAAAGTAGGGAGAACAAATATTCAGCCAAAGCTGTCACAATCAATGTTAAATCCAGTTTTGGTTATGGTAAGGGTGTCAATATTTGACAGGATACGAAAATTTGATCCGGACCCCCAGGTTGGACCCGACCCGATTTCAAAACGTTTAATTTAAAAAATTTGGATTCCCGCCCGCTGCCCCTCGCGCCCACTGCTCTGCGCCCGCTGACCCGCGTCCGCCACCTCGACCGCCGTCCGCCCGCCGCCGTTTCGACGTTCCGGCGCTGAAAGAACCCAAATACAGGTTGGGTCGGGTCAACCCGGCAACCCGACGGGTCGGGTCCGAGTCAGACTTTTCGACCCTACATATCCGGTTCGGGCTAGGATTGACCCGTTTAAACCCCGGGTCAGCTCGACCCGAACCGAAACCCGATTTTGACACCCCTATGCTTTATGCTTAAAATCGCAAAAACAAAATTTTTTGGAAAGCATGGAGAAAACAACAATAAAAATGTGATTGTGATATGGAAAGCAAAGTAGTCATAAATATGCCCAAAACAGGCTCTAAGTTGATTGCTTAAAATGTAAATAAAATACTAGAATCAAATGTTCAAATTTCAAAGAAGAAGTGAACAAACAAAACCAAAATGCCTAAGTTAATATATTTAACTAAGAAGTTTAAGATAACTAATAGAAGCTTAAGTTGCTCCATTTGTTGGAAGTTTAGAATCCAGCTTAAAAAATTATGGATCCAAAACATAAGAACTTCAGCAACTTCTTATGAGTATGAAATATGCCAGCCAGACATTAATAAGATTGATATAAAATAATGCAATCCAACTCATGCCTCGTTTGGTTCTTTGATTCCGTGTGAAATCTGCTTGTGTTTATCTATCGGATTGTATTATTGTATTAGACCTCAAGTCATTTTCTTATGCTCATTGGGGGGTGCGGTGGGTTTACCACCAGCTTAGATTCGGGTGGCTTGGACATGAAATTTTTGTATTTGTACAATGCCAGGTGCTGTGTTCCGAGCGCTCCAGCGCTGATCGATAGAGAGTAGGGCGTCGTGGCGCTCTAGATTCAGTACCACAGCACTGTTTAGGTCACAGCTTTGCGAACTTGAGCTCCACAACGCTTCGAGATGGACTAACAATTTTCTTTCTCATTTTTTCTCAAGAGTTGCGTTCCTTCGAGTTATTAACATTACTTTCTCTTTTATTGTGAATAATTAGAACATGAAGAACTATGATAACAATGTAAGAGAGAAGAGAAAGAGTGACTAAGATAGAAAAGAGATATGTACTTATTTCTCCTCATTTTCATAGTGGATTTCTTGGTTGGTATGGCTCTGTGCTTTTTCCCTCCTTTAAATTTTCCACGTTAAATCCTTGTATCCTTTTACTTCCGTTGTTTTTTTTGTTTTTTACTTTTTTTTTAGTTTCATCACGGTGTTTTACTTCCATCCCCAACATTTGCAATCTCTAAAATTTTTATATCATCAAGAGACTCAAATTCATTTCATGCGGCATTTCACATATTGTTATCACTATACAAATATTTTTAATCTCCAATTTCTAAAAATATTTTAAAAAATTAGCTAGCTTCTCATTCATCATTTCTCTCTTCTTTCATTTAGAAAATAATATTTCAAGCAAGCATTGCTCTTATTTGAAATTTTCAAATATTTCTCACAAAAAACGTTGAGGGCTCCCTTGGAGTCATTTTTTACTTGAATATCTTTCAAGAATAAAAATAAATAAACTTATTTAATTACTATTTTATAAAATGAGAATATATTACGAAGTATAAATTGTAAATTGGATATAAAAAAGAGCCAAATAATATAGCGGTTTGTTACTTTGCTCCACATCCTCCAAAATGCTCATTTTACTTTCTTTTATGTTTATATATTATTTCTTTAACTTTAGATCGAACTAAATCATACATCTCATAAATTAAACGCTACTCAGAAATTAGTGTAATTAAACCTTGAATTAAAATTAATTTTTATTCGATAATTCTGCTACCTACTTAATTAATGATGCACTAATAAAAAAGATTTTAACCCATCGAGGCTTAGGGTGATTGGTGGGAGAGCAGGTTCGGAACCTCCCATTTTGGGTTTGAATCCCTCTATTAGGGCATCGGCTCTTTAGTGGGACAAAACAAGTGTGAGCCCGATGCCAGTGATTCGTCTCACTAGGTTGCGTCAATGAATTAATTACGCTCTTAAATACTTTCTTTGAAGTACCCACCAATGCTTAGCTTGGTTGGTGGGTGTGCTCGGTTGGGAACCCCCCATCCCGAGTTCGATTCCCTCGAGCGGCATTCGGCCCTTAAGTGGGGGCTCCAAAGCGCCGACTATGAGTTTGTGGTCTGGGTGGCCCATTAGGTCGGCTGGAATTTACAGACAGCCAAGCGCACTCGACGAAGTCAGGTATGACAGCGAATGGTTCCTCGTCATAAAAGAAAAAGTAGAAAGGACAAATATTCAGCCGAAGCCGTCACAATCACTATTAAGTATTAAGTCCAGTTATTGGTGGCCTTGTTCTACTCTTCGCTGTGCCGTCTGCGCTATCTTCTCCGGCACCGCTACTGTACACTTTCCCTCTACTATAAATGCCCCCAACTTCTCTGTACTCCTTCATCTCTCTCTCTCTCTCTCAATCTTCCAGTTTCGTCTTGGTTATGCTTGGTGAGACCTCTCTGTTTCTCTTTCTGTTCTCTTGTTATGGAAGTGATATATTTCATTTGTTTACAGTACTGCGTTTTTAATTAAGCAACTAAATTATGATGTTATGGAGGATATGGTGCTATACTTCTTTTATTAACTGATATTCTTGCTGGGTGAAGCTTGGATTGGAATCTGCGTTTCTTTTAGTCTCTGTTTTCCCCTTACTTTCTTATCCTTCCCAATATTTTCTTCATGATAAAGTTGTCAACAATGCACAAACATCTCCATCAAAGTAATTGAAAAGATCGTTTCGTTGCTATCATTAAGATTATCCTTATCACAAATAGATTTGTCTCCATTTGATTGCTAGCAGACAATATATACATATTTTTAAAATGCTAATCTTCATTGATTTTTTTGTTTCTATTTGAAAGATTTTGAAGGAGTTCTTAAAGTTTGAAACTATGGTTGATTTGTAGCTAAGAAAATCTAATTATGAATCTGGCAAATTTCGCCACTTTTGAGCCATGTAATGAGCAAATAAGGGATTGAGTTAGAACAGCTATATACTCTCAGATCCTTTAGCAGCGAAGTTTAGTGTTGGAGCTTCAATATTTTAGTTTATCAATGCATTGAATCTCCTTGCTTTTGTTTCTCTGCAATTTCCATGGAGCTGCATCCCATCTGCTTCAATGAAGTCTAATCTTGTAGGGTGTTAAGTCCATGGTTGAGTTTGACCTGGCACTTAGCTGATCTCAACCATCTAATCATTTCAAACTTGTTTGATTGATCACATCCATCCAAACTTAGATCGACAATAAATACATAGTAATTTGGAATAATCTAAATATGCTATTCCATCTCTTTTTCAATTATTTTGTTTGGTCACTGGATAGGATCCAGAGGCAAATTAGATCGTGTCACATCATTTTTTTAGTGTACCGAATGACATGACACAATCTTATTTGACTTCGAACAGTCAGATGACCTCACAGAATAATTTCTCCTTTTTTTTTGTAGCTTTATTCGTTATTGTTGTGTACGCTGCTTTATGCTGAAGGAGATGGTGAATTGGTAATCTTGAAATAAATATTATTGCAATATTTGAAGGAATGAAAAAATCATAAATAAAATATGCTTAATTAAAATTATAAAATTATTTATTTATTAAAAAGAATAACTGAATTTCATTACTGTTTTTTTTATGGTTCTAGTTTGCTGCAACTTTTCTGCTGCTTTTCATAAATTCTTTACATAAGAAATAGCTTTTCACAACCAAATTTATTAGACTCTGGAAGAAGTTTTTTTTTTTTTTTTGAAGGGAAAGCTGATGATGCCAGGATTTTTTTGCAGGTTGTGGTAATATTTGAAGATGGAAACTGTGCTAACATTTCTCTTTGCACTGCTATTCCTAAGTGGCTGGATGGCAGTGGGAGGAGTAGATCATCTCAAGTATAAAGACCCAAGACAACCTTTGAATGTTAGAGTAAATGATCTTTTAAGCAGGATGACTTTTGCTGAGAAGATAGGTCAAATGGCTCAAATTGCCAGGGAAAACGCAACAGCACAAGTTATGGCAGAGCGCTTTATAGGTACTTCATTTTCATAAATTATACTTTATTTCTCATCTCAGTCTCTCACGTCGAATAATTTTGGATGGGATGATGATGAATGTTGGTGCTACCCAGCTTCTCCTTGACGGTCTATTTGGCAATCAGGAGTTCCTGATGCTCTTTTCTGTTTGCTGGGATTCACGTTGTAGAGCATTATGAGTCCTTTTTTGTTTTGCTTGACCCTCATCTCCTGTCCTTCTTTGTAATTGTTTGCTTTAACCTCTTCGGCTGCCGGTTTTGTTTTTTTCTGTTAGCTTGATTTGTTTTTTATTTTTTATTTCATACGTGTAATCTTTCTTTTACTGAAATAAATGGGCTTCTGCCCTAGGCATGCCAATTCGGGTCAATGGGTCTGGTTCGGGTCGAACCCGGAATTGACGCATGCCAATTCGGGTCAATGGGTCTGGTTCGGGTCGAACCCGGAATTGACCCGGCACTATTTGGGTCAACCCAAATCCGATCCGTTTTTAAAAACGGGTTAGGTTTTCCGACCCAAACCCGACCTGAAACGAATGACTCGGGGTTGAGCCAAAATTGATAGTTTTAGGGTAAAAAGTTGGGTTAATCTTCGATTTTCGGGAAAAAAATAGGTCAATTTCGGTTTTCGGGTCAAATACGAGTTTTCGTGTCAATTTCGAGTTTCTGGGTCAACCCAAACCCGACCCGGTTTTTAAAACGGGTTGATTTGTTGAACCCGAACCCGACCCGTTTCGGGTCCGGCTTGACACCAACCCAGATTTTTCTAGATCGGATTTGGGTCGTGTCATAAAGTGACACCCCCCATTCTGCCCCAAAATTCCCCCCACCCCCAAAAAAAGAAGCAAAACAAGTAATATTATTTGAAAATAATGCAGGTAGTGTCTTGAGTGGAGGAGGAAGTGTGCCTGCTCCAAAGGCATCTGTGAAGCTTTGGGTGGATATGGTAAATGAGATACAGAAGGGGGCTCTTTCTACTCGTTTAGGGATTCCAATGATATATGGTATTGATGCAATTCATGGCCACAATAATGTCTATAAGGCTACGATATTTCCACATAATGTTGGACTTGGAGCTACCAGGTTTGTGTTTTTTCTTCTTGTTGCACAAAATTGTTATTCTACTTCCTATCTATGTTCTGCTAGCTGTTTATGTCAACTTTCCTACATCATTTTTGCTTTACTTTATGTAAGATTGTTCATTTTTGGTATCTTTATTAGTTATGGTAGTGATTTTCTGATGTGGAGTTTGGATCTATTAATCTTAAATGAATATATTATTGAGATTCTTTATGCTACAAACATTGAAACTTATTCCTCATAAAAACACTGTATAGTGTCAGAACTGTAGAAACTTGAATTCAGAGGAAGAAACACTTTCTCTCGAGTTTCTTGAGGAGGGAGGGAAGAGAGGGAAGAGGAGAGGGAGAACACTAAATCAGAAATTTTATTTCTTAACCATATTAAGCTATTACAATCTATAGCCTATTTATAGGCACAAAAGCAACATAACAAGCTACACTACTAGTAAAAAAAAAAAAAGAAAAAAAAAAAGAGCTACACAACTAGCTACAAACATAAAACTAGAACCAATATCTAACAAGAACAGTTAGTTTTTTTTTTCTAATGAGGTGTGGTACAAGCCACTTCTTTGTGACAAAAATTTGTTCGGTGATCTTGGTAGATATAGGTTTCGTTTGGGATGACTTTTTTATTGCTTATTAAAGTAGCTTTTTAATTTTTGTATTAAAAAGCTGTTTTAAGAAGCAGGAAGAGAGCCGTCCCAAGCCATAATCTTATCATATACGTAAAACTCGAGTGTTTCTTTAATAAATTTGAAAACTTACCACTAGGATATTAATTACTCTCAGGGATCCAGCACTCGTGAAGAGAATTGGTGCGGCAACTGCTCTTGAAGTTAGAGCAACAGGCATTCCATATGTCTTCGCTCCATGCGTTGCGGTAAAGAAACACAAAATATCAGAAAACAGTCCATTATAAAAAAAAAAACTTAGCATATTTTGATCCATATCTACTTCTTGAGCTTTTATAGGTTTGTAGAGATCCAAGATGGGGCCGTTGCTATGAAAGCTACAGTGAAGATCCACATGTTGTGCAGATGATGACTGAGATTATCTCCGGTTTACAAGGAGAGATTCTTTCAGATTCACGCAAAGGAGCCCCTTTTGTTGGAGGAAAGTAAGAACTCATCACAACTGCATAAATTAATATAACTCGAATGTGCACAATTCATACATTTGCGCTATCTAATTTGCATTGCTTTGCTTGTATATTACACAGAACAAAAGTTGCAGCTTGTGCTAAGCATTTTGTTGGTGATGGTGGAACACACTTGGGAATAGATGAGAACAATACAATTACGAATTTCCATGGGCTTCTTAGTACCCACATGCCTCCTTATTACAATGCAATCATCAAAGGTGTTTCTACTGTGATGGTCTCCTACTCAAGTTGGAATGGCGTCAAAATGCATGAGAACCATTACCTCTTAACTGATTTCCTGAAAAACAAGTTGCGTTTCAGGGTTAGCCTTCTTCTTATGATCAATAAGTAGCTTATCAGGTTCTATTAGTAAGCTCAGGCAAATCTCCCTTCTACAAGAAGAGTGGCAGATGATTGTGGTTACAGTATAAGGAATTGGGATGCCTTAGAGTTTTTATTGAGTAAATGTCTGAGATAGTCCATAGACTTTTAGGTGTATCTATTTAAGACTCAAATTCTTCTAAATTTTCAATTTAGTTCATCAACAAATCAAAATTTAGGCCTCGTTTGAGACGACTTAATTTTACCTTTTCCGTTTCAACATCCCATAATTTCTTTTTTTTTTTTTTGTTGTTGTTTAAATGTGACGCATGCTTGTTCGAAAACTCCATTTATTTACTGTTTTGAGAAGCATTATGGTATTAGCTTCTCCATTTAAAACCTCCATTTCTTTGATTGACATTTCTGAAATGGAAAAAGTAAAGAAACCAAAAGAAGCCTTAATCAAATTGGTCCTATCGTCAATCTGCCCTTTCCTTGGATAGAGATTTGTCGTGTGAAACTCTTCGAAAGGCCATTTTGGACTTCTTAAATCCAATTTCATTATTTAATACTAGCTCAAATGAATGAAATTGATCCTAATAAAATCCATGATTCCCTTATGAAAAGCTTCTCCAAGTTTTATCAAAAGAAATAATATAGTTGATAGCAGGACCAAATTTATTCAAATTTATTGAGTTGTGGCAACCAATTGAACACCTGTAAAATCTTAGGATTAAAATAGAAACCTAAAAGTTTGAGGATTATTTTGATCATTTACTCGGTTCTTATTCAAGATTTAGAATTGTCCTTTTATTAGGAATTTGTAATGAGAAATTAACATTTTTCAGTATTTTTATGCATAAATAGGGATTTTTAATATCAGATTGGGAAGGCATTGATAGGATAACCACGCCTGCTCATGCCAATTACACTTTCTCTATCCAGGCCGGAATTCTAGCAGGAATTGACATGGTCAGATAATCTTTTCTATCACAAAAATTCATAATAGGATTATATTAAGGGTCCTTAATACTTCTCTGTTTTCTCTCGTTTTGATTTTGGAAAATGTTTCAGATAATGATTCCATTTGACTATCCTGAATTCTTCGAAGACTTGACCACTCTTGTAAATAAAAACATCATTCCAATGAGCAGAATTGATGATGCTGTTCGAAGAATTCTTCGGGTTAAGTTCACAGTAGGCCTCTTTGAGAACCCATATGCAGACCTTAGCTTGGAGGCTGAGCTCGGAAAGAAGGTTTTCGTGCTCTTTTAATCTCATTTTGATTTCAGTTGCATAAATCAAAACATTTTGTGCTTTCAAAAGAAGTGATTTTGATTGGTATGAGCTGCTTGGCATTCAACAGGAACACAGGGAACTGGCCAGGGAAGCTGTGAGGAAGTCACTAGTGTTGCTGAAAAATGGAAAGAGCTATGTTAAGCCATTGCTTCCCCTACCTAAGAAGGCTAAGAAAATTTTAGTTGCAGGTAGCCATGCTGATAACTTGGGTTATCAATGTGGAGGTTGGACTATTGAGTGGCAAGGACTTGGTGGAAACAATCTTACAACAGGTTAATGCTTCTTTCCTCTCTCTAATGACCAATCAACCTAAGAATTTAAGTTTATGAGTTGTGCTAATGAGAACTTGTAGTGTTTAGTCCTTTCACTTATCTTTCAAGTTTCCATTTCTATATCGAAGCTTTAGGCTTTGTTTGGGACGGATTTTTTACTGTTTCTTAAAGCAACTTTTTAGATAAAAATTTTAAAATTTTGAACTAGAAAACTGCTTTAAGAAGCAGTAAGAAAGTTGTCCTAAACGAAACCTTAATCTAATATCTATGGATTGGCACAGGAACGACGGTGCTCGATGCAATCAGATCCTCGGTCAACTACAACACTGAGATTGTGTATTCTGAGAATCCAGATTCTTCTAATCTCAGCAACAATGAATTCTCATATGCCATTGTGGTTGTTGGGGAGGTTCCTTATGCAGAGACTTTTGGTGACAACATGAACCTTACCATCCCTGCTCCAGGGCCACATATAATACATAATGTGTGTGAAAAGATCAAATGTGTGGTGATTATTATATCTGGAAGGCCTCTTGTGATAGAACCATATGTCGAAATGATCGATGCGCTCGTAGCTGCATGGTTACCGGGCACTGAAGCGAAGGGCATCGCTGATGTTTTGTTTGGAGACTACGGGTTCTCCGGCGTCCTCCCGAGGACTTGGTTCAGGTCTGTTGATCAGCTTCCAATGAATGTTGGTGACCCACATTATGACCCCCTCTATCCTTTTGGTTTTGGGCTCAAGACAGAGCCGACAAACAGTAATAACTAGCCGGAGGGGTCTGCTTGGCAAAGGTGACGAGGAATTCTTAGTAGAATTGTGGCTTTATTTGAAAATTGGTGAGGCTCTTGAGGAATTCACAGGCAGGAGAGGCATGTTTGTATGTTTTATTATCTATTTTAATGAAATTTGATCTAGGGATTCATGCCACAAACCAACCTTTCACTATGGATTAGTTAATTCAATCGCCTTTCAACAAATCAAAGATGAATAGAAATATCAATAGAGGTGTTGATGATCTGAGTCAATCGAGCTCAAAGGGCCTTCTCAATATACATCAATTATAACTATAAGGAATAATATCAGCTCCATCAAAATAAATAAGAGTCTCTGATTATTGATGCTGGTCATCTTGGCATCAAATCTTAACTAGAGTGGTCTCAGCCCAGCAGCTCTGCCAATTATAAGGAATCTAGTATTGAGGCATAACTTAGATTTTGTTTGGGACGGCTAATTTTTAACGCTTCTTAAAACAATTTTCTAATACAAAAATTTTAATTTTTGTACTAAAAAATTGCTTTAAGAAACAGTAAGAAAGCTGTCCCAATCGAAGCTCTAGTAATACAAGGTTGCCGGCCTCTTCCTAAAATAAAGATGTCAATGCATCTTGATAAAAATTATATCAACATGAATTTAATAAATATTGAATTTAATATATATATAGTACTTTCTCAATTTTTACATTTATAAACGTAGCCAGTCTCACCCAAGTTCCACGATAAAGAGATTTAGGTAATGCAGAAAAATTCTGCTTATAATCACAAAAACAAAAATTTTTGGAAAGCATAGGGAAAACAACAATAAAAATGTGATTGTGATATGGAAAGCAAAGTAGTCAGAAATATGCCCAAAACAGGCTCTAAGTTGATTGTTTAAAATGTAAATAAAATAATAGAACCAAATGTTCATACTTTAAATAAGTGAACAAACAAAACCAAAATGCCAAAGTTAATATATTTAACTAAGAAGTTTGTGATAACTAATAGAAGCTTATGTTGCTCTATTTGTTGGAAGTTTAGAATCCAGCTTAAGAAATTATGGATCCAAAGCACAAAAAACTTGAGCAACTTCTTATGAGTATGAAATATGTCAGCCAGACATTCATAAGATTGATATAAAATAATGTGATCCAGTTCCGACTCCCTTTTCTTGTTTTTAAACGGAAGTATAGGAGCGGGAAATGGAGAATTTTTTCTTCTTCTCAGATTGGCAGAAATACGGAGGCTAGCTTGAGTTGATTTGCAGAAATCCCGAGTGCTCTAGCGCTGATCGACAAAGAGCAGGGCATCGTAGCGCTATAGATTAAGAGCCACAACACTTTGTAGGTCGCAAATCTACGAACTTGAATGCCATAGCGCTTCGAGGTTGATTGAACAATTTTCTTTCATGTTTTTCTCAAGGGTTGTGTCCCTTCGAGTTATTAACTTGACTTTATCTTGAATTGTGAGTAATTAGCAGTGGCGAAGCCATGATTATTTATTTGCGGGGGCACAAATTTCTAATTTGAAAAATATCGTCAACCTTGTCATTCAAGCTTGAAATTGACATTAGGGTTTTATTTTTTTTAATATCTAACTTAAGGTTTTCAAACCTAATTTAAATAAAAATAAAATTTAAAAATATTTTATAACGAGCAATAAATATATAAAAAAGTTACATTTTATTAATATAAAAATATATAAAAAATAATAATTAGCATGAGAAAATATATAAATAAAGAGAGAAAAATAAATGAAAAAAGGTTTAAAATGGTCTAATAAAAATCAACAAAAAAATAATTAACCTCATAAGAGATAGTGGAAAATAAATAAATAAATTTAAATTATCTCACCATTATCGTAGAGAGAGAGAGAAAAGAAGGAGCAAGTACAAAAAGTTGTCACTGATAACAAAAAAATTGGCAATAAAGAGAGAGAGTGGAGAGGAGAAAAAAAATAACTTCCAATGATTGCCTTTTTTTTTTTTTGGAGAATTGGGGTTCTTTTTTTTTTTTTTGGAGAATTGGGGGCAAAACCCATATATTAATCAATGAAAATAACAAAGGCTAGTTACAAGTAAGTATAGAAAAAACATATACCACCTCAAAACCTTAAGAAAAGTAAAACAATACAAAAACAATGAGGGAATAAGGGAAAAACAAAATGGACTCAGGTAAAAGAACTACATCATAGCTGTATCAAGGCCAGGCTTATGAAAAGCCAAAAATCCAGCATAGTGCACTGGTTGCCAGTTCCCAGAATGAATCGACCCTCGCAGTGCCAAGAATAACCTCCCACAAAAAACCTGGTTGCCCGAAGACCATCCAAGGATACCGGATTGATGTAGTCCTTGCTCATCATCGCCCCAAAAATCCCAATATCCAGAATAGCAGCCAAAACCACAAACAATAAGTCGGTATAAGAGTGTCAAAGCAGCATTGAGTTGGTCATGACATAAACCAAAAATCTCCCAGCAAAAAGGCACCACCATCCAGCTACAAGAAGAAGCAGCAGAAACAACAACAAAAACAGAGCAGAACACATTCAACAAAAATAGAATAACCCTCCAGAATTGATTCATCTTCTAGAAAAATACCTTCAGGGAAAAGCCAGAGACAAGAAATTCAGCCGAGAATCCCAATAAATTTCTCTTTAAGCATATCATAACCATTCCAGTGAATCGTTTTAGCACGGATAGCCTTAATAATATCAAATTTTAAGTCAAAAGAAGACTTCCACGTATTCACAAAATGCCTGCTATTCCTCTCCCTCCAAGTAAAATAGATAAGTGTGGCCAGTGAAAGAAAACAGAACTGCTTATCCTTCTTATCAAATTCTCGTAAATTATCCAGGAAATCATAAATTTGCAACAGATTAGGCCTAAGATAAAACTTAGAAGTAACCGGGAGCAATTCAGTGAGCATAGTGAACGTATAATCACATTCAAAGAAAATGTGAGAATGATTCTCAACATTACCACAACAGAAAGAGCATAAACGTGGAACAGCAATACCTCTTAAAATAAGGTTATTTGCAGTTTTTAACTTCACTTTTAATGCCATCCAAGCATAGCAAGAAAACCTCAAAGCATGCCATTTATGCCATATATACTTAAACCAGTTCACATTATCAACCTGATTATAAAAATGAGCAATAATCTTCTTCGGGGGAGGAATGGGGGAGCCATCCCAGGTGAGAACTGGTTGCTCCCCCCAAATGGGAGTGTTAGCAATAAAAGAGGAGATCACATCAGGTAAATCAGCTGGAAGAGCCCAGTGGTCATCAAAAATAAAACTATTTACTTTAAGATAAGACAAACTGGAAGAGCAGCAAAATTCAGCCAAAACTTTATTCTTACACCAAGGATCCTACAGAAAGGATAGCTAGATTGTTGTTTTTTTGAACTGAGAGAGAAACAATAGGAAGGATAGAAGCAGCCACACTACAAAAATACTTTCAGAATTTAGATGCACCAATCGAAGGAGGTTTCCAAGGCGACTCAAATTTCTCTATGTACCAAATCCCAATCAGAGAGTTATTATTATACATTCTAAACAGAAAAGAAGTGGCCATTTTATGGTACAGGTAGTCAAAGGAGGGAAGCCCCAAACCACCTTTAAATTTAGGAAGAACCACAATATTCCAAGAAATGAGATGAAGCTTTTTATCCAAAATATTGCCAAAAAAGAGGAATTTGGAGCAAATTATATTGATAGCTTTCTAACATGCCTTAGGTATAACAGCACCACGAATCCAGTAGGCAATAGTATTTGCAATAGTGAACTTTAAAAATTGTAATATACCTGCAAAAGAAAGAAATTTAACTTTCTAACCCGCAAGTATAGTAGAAATTCTACTCATAAGGGGTTGGAAGTAAGTGAAATTGAGTCTAGAGGTGGAAATGGGAAGGCTAAATATGTAATAAAGTCTTCCACCCGAGAGATATCAAGACATACATAAATGGCATTGATGTCATTCACAGAAGCAAATCTTTTAGAGAAGAGTAAGGCACTCTTAGTGGGATTAACATGAAGGTCGGAAGCCGCACCAAAATAATGAAGAATCTTCTTAAGAGAATTAGCATTGTAACTAGTAGCATGGCCAAAAACTAAAAGATCATCTGCATACATCAGATGATTGAAATTGAGATTGCGGATTTTCAATCCCAAAAAGGCATTATGAGCATCAAGGCAGGCAGATAAGGCATCCATAATAATACAGAAAAGAAGGGGAGAGAGAGGGCACCCCTACCTCAATCCAGAAGAAGAGGGGAAGAAGCCCTCCAAAGCCCCATTGAGGCAAATAGAGAAATGAACATCCGAGATACATCCCTTAATCCAATTAATAAAGCCATCCGAAAAACCTTTTTGTCTCAATCTGTTCAAAAGGAAAGTACGAGAAACAGAGTCAAAAGCTTTCTTAATATCAAGTTTGGCACATAAATGCTTATGTCTATCTTTGAACTCCCTCAAGACTTCAAAAGCAAGAATAATGTTGTCGGTAGAGCACCTATTAGAAATGAAACCCGATTGACTCTCATTAATAATCAAAGGAAGGTTAGGTTTCATTCTATTAGCAAGGATTTTAGCCACAATCTTATAAAACAAACATTGCATAAGGATATGGGCCTGAAATAAGAGATGCTATTAGAATGTGTGCCCTTAGGAATCATAGTGATAGCCGTGGCTTTAGCCCCTTTGGGCATGCTACCAGAATTGAAAAAGTGTTTAACAGCTCTACACAGGTGATAACCAATAATGTGCCAAGCCTTTTGGTAGAAACAAAAAGAAAAACCATTCGGACCTGATGCAGAAGTGGATTTACCCTCAAAAACCACCTTTTTATCTCTTCATTTGTAACCGGATTCAGAAGGGTAGGAATTAAATGGGTAGGGACCATATTACCAACCAGAATGTTGTAAGAATTTTCCATAGGGGGATTGGGAGAGTTGTAAAGCTCCCTAAAGTGACTAATAAGAGCTTGAGCCAAGCCCTCATGAGAAGAAACAGTCCCAGAAGCAGTAGTAAATTCCTTGATAGAATTCCAATTTTTTCTAGATCTGATCTTGGCATACAGAAATCCAAGATCATCCTCTCCTTGGGTTAGCCAATAAGCCTTGGCCCGCTGAGAAATCCAAGAAAACCAAGCAAACTGAAATGAGGCTAATCTGTCATTAGTTTCCTTGAGAGAAGCATTTAAAGCTATGTTTAATGGATCCAATT